CGTTTTTAACCCACTCTGGGCCAGAGGGAGAGACGCTAAGCCTCCCACTGTATTACTCGGTCTGCTACCACCGAGGGTTCATACACTAAGTTCTCCTCTTTAGCTCAGTCTTGCTACGGCTGAGGGTGTATGTACCTCTATAACACAATTTAAACCTAAACTCCTATATCCTTCAGAGTTTGGTTAATTAACTGAAAGTTTACGCTCTTTTTCCTATAGTGCCAGGCTTGCTAAAGCTGGCGGTGTGCACACCAGTTTGATAATAACTGTGGATTCTATGCTTGCTCCCCCTTTCGCATTCTCCACCAAAATGTTGTACTTAAAGTACTGCACGGGATCTTTTCAGGGGGAATAAGGCAAAACGCCACATTTATTAGTAATACATGTATTCCTTAACACTGTATTATATGCATATAATATATTACACTCACAAACACACACAAACACACTCCGTCTTCTTGTTACCAATTAGTTGCTCCCCTTAACTTCACTGGCCAGGTGAGTTAGATGGGGGAGGGGGTGGAGCCTGGCTTCTGCCGATCCGGATCGATGCTCCCATGTTGATAAGACGAGACCCGGGGTTCTCTGCAAGACACCTCACTTTTATAGCAGCTTCCCTCTCATGCAAATCTAGACCAGATTCAAACTCTGTGTCTGTGTCCATTGGTCCTTTGTGCTGCTTTCTTTTGAGTGTTGTCCCAATGCTGCAAAGAGGGTGTTTCCAAAAGAAGGTGCTTGCTTCTAACCCCCGAGGCCGTCAGTATGTCTGCTTGTCTTTAATGAGCCCACTTGACACGTTTTATTGTCGTTGGGTCTGGCTCCCAGCCCCTCTCCAACAGTTGAGGCTGTCTGGAGGTGCTGCCTTCCATGCCTTGCTCATCCACACCTCCTTCATTCAACAGGGCAATTGATTAAGAGTGGGGGGGGAGAGCTCTTATTCTACTGCTAGCAAAAAGAAATTTTTCTTCTATCTTATTCTATCCTTAGGGGCTATAATATTATACCAAGGGCAATGCAAAGTTTCTAAATGAGGCTTTGATACAAAGTCCCATGAAAACAGAGGTCACACGTGGGTAGACCCACCACAAGGTTATATGAAGAGGCACAATGTAAAGTCATATGAAAATTATCAGAGATTTATCTACAACCGTGCCTCCAGGAGCTGGGGATTTAACGGGGTGGGGGAGGGAAATATGCCAACCCCAAAGAGTGACTTTCCCAGGTCCAAGAATGGGAATTCATTGTGGCCTGGGCTGGTATTCTGGAGAGGTGGGGCTGTTCCCCTGGCCATCCCTCCCCCCGTGTCTCAGTTTCCCCATCTGTGCCATGGAGCTGGCGATCCTGCCGTGCTCCACGATGGGCTGTGAGCTCTGCGGCTGGGACGTGCTCAGGATGGTGACGGTGGGTTTTGTTCCAGGGCGACGCGAAGAACGACACGTGGATCTTCGCACTGGCCGTGCTGCTCAGCAGCACCCTGGTCTATAACAGCCGGGGCACCATCGACCAGCAGGCCATGGACCAGCTGCAGTATCCTTGCCTGGGGGCCGGGGGGCCAGGGACCCATATCCCCGGGGACGGGCCCCGTGGTTCTACCAGATGCTTCATCCTCCGCGAAATGGTGACCCACAGTTCAGTAAAAACCCGCTACTGCCACCAGCTCTTGGAGTCGCTCCTTCAGGTCCCGTGCTGCAGGCGGCTGCTCTGGACCTTGGGGGTGGTGGGTTCGATCCCTGTGTCACAGAGTCCCCGGGCGATGCGCTGAAACTGCTCCCCACAAAGCCAGGCAGGACTCTGGGGAGCCTCCTCTCCCTCGGAGCAGACTGTCTTCAGGGCAAGAAGCTCACACGGCTTCACCTCCTGGGTCTCTCCTGGGAGCATTCAGCATATGCCCCTCCATGCGCTTCCCACAGCGAGTCCGCCCAGGCGGGGTCCTGGGGGAGCCAGAGGGTCCTGCACCCCCACTTCGCAGTCAGACGTGACTCTCAGCCAGCCAGTACAACAGAGGTTTATTAGATGACAGGAACATGGTCTAAAACAGAGCTTGTAGGTACAGAGAACGGGACCCCTCAGCTGGGTCCATTCTGGGGCCCAGCGAGCCAAACACCCACATCTGCCCTCACTCCTCGTCCCCAGCCAGCCCCAAACTGAAACCGCCTCCAGCCCCTCCTCCTCTGGGCTTTGTCTCTTTCCTGGGCCAGGAGGTCACCTGATCTCTTTGTTCACCTTTAGCTATTTCCTTGCAGGGGGGGAAGGGCCCTGGCCATTTGTTGCCAGGGAAACAGAGTGTCAGTGATTGATGCACACTGGCCTTTATCCCTCCACCTAGAGACTTAAGAACTGCAAAGGGGAAACTGAGGCACCTACACAGTATTCAGAGTAAACATTAAGAACAGTCCCATTTCGTCACACCCTGCTTCCTGGTGGTGTGATGGAATATCCTCCCCTTCCCCCGGTCCCTTCTGAGCCCCTATAGCAGGCAGGTTGGGGGGGCGGGCCCTGAAGCAGTGGGTGCAGGGGGTTCCTCATCTCTGGTTCCTTAGCCAGCCCCCAGCTACGTGACAGAACTGATGGAGCATGTCAAGGTGAAGGCGACGGGTCGGGGCGGCCGGCAGGAGGGGGAAGATTCGGCCGAGTTCGTGCGGTTCTTCCCGACCTTCGTGTGGGCCCTGCGAGATTTCACACTACAGCTGGAGCTGGATGGGCGGGAGATCACCGAGGACGAGTACCTGGAGAACAGTCTGAAACTAAAGACAGGTAGGGGCCCTGTGCTGGCCCCAGGGTGGCACTAGGGGATGCTGGGCTGCAGGGGGCGGGGGTCCCCTGGCAGTCAGGCCTGGCTCCAGGACGGCACTAGTTGGCACTGTGCTTGCAGGGGGGGTGACTTGCTCGACACACAATCCCAAGCTGTTGACCCTTTGCGGATGTTACTGGTCCCTGGGAGTTGGGACATTCGCTGTCCCGGCCATATTCCAGCTTGGATGGTTCCCCGGCTCCCCTCAATCCTCTGTGGATATCGAGGTCTCTCCCCCCCCAGGGGAATCTGTCCAACAGCTGCCATGCTGCCCCCCAGAAGCAGCCGCATGTTGGCGCAGGGCTGCTGCCTAGTTCCCGTCTTCTCCCCAGGCAGCAGCCAGCAAACCCAGCTCTACAACCTGCCCCGTGAGTGCATCCGCCAGTTCTTCCCGGCCCGGAAATGCTTCGTCTTCGTCCCGCCAGCTGGCAGGAGGGACCTGGCCCGGCTGGAGGAGCTGCAGGAGGACGAGCTGGAGCCCGAGTTCCGGGAGCAGGTGGCCCGGTTCTGCCACCATGTCTGGGAGACGTCGAAGCCCAAGGCCATCCCGGGTGGCCATGTGATGACTGGGGCCAGTGAGTATCGGTAGCCCTTGGGCCGGGGGCCAGCAGGGCTTGTGGGGTGCTGGGCAGGATGAACTGAGCTGGGAGGGGGTCCCCTGTGTCCAGCGCTGGTGGGGCCAATGGTGGCGCCTGCGCCCAGCTCTAGGGTGCGCAGTTAGAAGGGGAGCTAGAAAATCCTAGAGGAGTGGAGCAAAGCCGTGGAAACCACCCCCAGGGGAGAACAGGCCGGGTGGTGGGAGCCCGACAGCAGATCTGGTCAGTGGCTCCCAGGGGGAGAGGGGGAGAGGCCTAGAAAGCCCCGTGGGCGCGTTTCACGGGGAGGGGGGGGGACGCCTGGGTCCCCAGGGGCTGTTGGTTGGGCCCCACCAATTTCACATGAAAAATGT